TACCTAAGTAAAGGTTTAATTAGTGCTTATATAGAACTATACCGCAATATTAGTATGTTCTTTAAAGCTATACCCTTAGGTATATTTACTTATTACATGGAGTAATTAGAGTAATAGGATACTTCTCTATTCTAAATAGATATTAGCTTTATAGTGAAGATCGAATAATTAGCGGTAGAAAATATTAGATTAACTAGTGAAACTGATTACTAGTAAGATTAAGTAGTTAAAGAGTTAGAATTAAAAGGGCGTATAGAAGAAGAAGTTGATTAGCTAAAGCTCGTACTATAGATAGCTTAGATTAATATTTAGTGAATATAGTAGAAAATAAACAAGTAGGTATTGATAGCGGATTACTATAGGAAATTTATACTTAAGTCTTACTAAGAAGTGAATAAAGCTTTTCTAGTATTTAAGAAATTGAGATTAGAGCTATCTTTACTATTTAATAGATAGAGTTTAGACTAGGTAACTCTAGATATTATAAGAGATATAGTGTAGCTATTTAGTGTAGGCGTTATTGTAGTTCTCGCTTTAATATATATAGAAGTATAACTAACTTTTACAGAAAACTAAACAAAATCAAAATTACTACTCTAAGATTTAGATAATAGAATAAAAATAGACTAGAATTTAAAGAGAACGAAAGAAATAGTAATATAATTATTAATATACTAATCTTAGATCTTTAGTAATCTCATATAAGTTCTTATCTAGTATAGTACTATAGTATACTCTAAGGAACCTAATACTTCTACAATTCTTAAATTTCTATCTTAGATAAGAATTAATAAGGTTATTATTAATTAGACCTATATTCGTGCAAGATTTAGTAATATCTAAAGTTATTCTTAAAGATATAGTATAGTTAACGAGATTAGTCTACGCGGTATTACTAGAGATAGTATTATAGGAAACTAGAACTAGATAAGTTTTTTTACTTATACTTAATAACCTACTCTATATCGCGCTTAGATTAGAAGAATACTACTTGATAAAGTATATAGACTGTATCTAAACGTACTATACTTCTTTAAGAGTTTTTAACTTCTATTTTTTTTTTTGCTTTATCTACTCTTATTATTATTCTTTTGCTTCTAGGCTCTCTTAGTAGTACTCTTAAAGCTATTACTAGGCTTAGTGCCCGGCTCTACCTCTTTTACTTCTACTATATATCTCTTACCGCGCTAGCTCTAGATTTCTCTTTGAAAACTATAGATATCGCTCAAATAGTAATATAATAACTTTAAATTTTCTAGTTAAAAGTTATATAGAGAATATAAATAGGGTAAAAGTTAGATCTATATATTAATATATATTTTAATATAGTTCTATAATATATTACTCCTAGTCTATTACTATATTCTTAAAGATACTAGGAGTTCTATATCTTTTAAGTAGAATAGATAGAATCTAGAGCGAATAAGAATATAGTAATATATTATTATCTCGTATCTATATAAAGTTATATTTATAAGATACTCCTAGTAGTATATCTTCTATTTGTTCTTATTCTAGAACTACTAGAAATAAAGAAAGTAATAATTTAACTTACTTTCATGTTAGCTAAGCTTATAGGTAAGTTCTTTATAGTAGTAGATATAGATATAGCTAACTCTTTAGTCTCTTTATAGACTATTGATAATTAGTGTTAAGCTATATATAAGAGTAGATAAGATTATAGTTTACCTCTTTATTAGTTACTAGTACTTTTAAACTAGATATACTTCTCTAATTAGTTTCTTATTTAGTAGATGCAAGACTTTAATGTTAAAAAATAAGGATTACTTATAGCTTCTCTATTACTAATAACATTCTTATAGAAAGTATTATCTTAGTAAGATAGACGTGTTCTAGTATAACTTAGAATATATTCTAAGTAATATTTATACTTACTAGATTCTTAGGAAGCTCTTTTCCTTATAATAAAGTTTTCTAGTTCTACTTTTCCTAAATTTAATTAACGTAGTAATACTATAAAGCTTTATCTCTAATCTACTTCTAGTAGTAGAGAAGCTTTTATTTTACTATAGAGATAGCGTTTTTATTAGTATAATTCTTTATAAGTTATTTAACTTCCTTTTTAAGTTAGAGGAGTTCTAGATTCTATAAGATTAAAGCCTTTTTTTTTTTAGCTAGAAGAGTAGACGGAAGTCTATTTTTATAGAATTAGCTAATACTTTAAAGATACTAAATATAATAGATTTCAGCTAGCTTATCTAGAAAGGCTAACTACCTATTAATTAATAAAGTATTCGCAATATAGCTTTAGCTGAAAATATTAGAATTATCTCAATTTAGAAGCTCTAATCGCTTAGCTATAGTAGCTCTTTTTATAAGATATTTTAGTAACTTTAGTAGAGATTATAGGTAAGGAATTAAAGGCTTAGAATAGAAAGAGCTTACTATTAGTTTTATTAGTAGGATAATAGCGTATCGCGTGAATAGTAATTTAACTAAAGTACCTTAAGATTTATTCTATAGCCTATAATATCCTGTTAAATTTCACTATTATTAATAGTTTATTAGAGATACCTCTATATCTAGTAGCTGTTTGCACTATTAGCTTTTCTAGAGTAGATTCTTTCTACTAAAGCGGTAGTTTAGTTTCGCCTAAAGGGATTCTCTACTTCTATAACTATTTTAGAGACTTGTAGCTAAATAGAGCTTTATCTATAAAAGCGAGTATAAGTAGAAATATTACTATATTAAGTATAGGTATTTTGTATTCTATAAATAGAATCCCGAATCTATAAATTTATTAATTAGCTTAGCTATATTATACTAGGAGTTAAGGATAGTAAAGGAAATATTACTCTGTATCTTCTAGATTCTAATTATTCTCTATAAAGTACTAATTAATTTAGTATTCTATAGTCCATTTATTGTTATCTCTATTCTCTAGGCGTATAAAGAAGATCTTGATATTCTATATCAATTAGATAAATATATAAGAAGTTAAGATAGAGAAGTATATATACTTTATATTAAATTTCTTTATTACCTACCTTAGATATATTAGGAATAAAAGTATTGATTCTTATACTAGAGAAGTAGAAGAGTAAGATAGTAAAGGTAAGTTAAATTCTAATACGCTTATAAATAAAGACTAGGTTATTCTTAGTCTAAAGAGAGAAAAGTATATCAATTAGGTTGTGTCTTATAAAGAGATTTATTTCCTTCTTTCTATTCTTAATAGTGCTTTCCTTTAGTAAAGTATTACTAATCCACTAAAAAGGATTAGTAATAGTATATTAATATATTAATAGAATAGCTTTTTATCTTATAGATCTCGCTTCTATTCTTTAGATTAAATATAGTACTTATAATCCGCTTAAAGCCGCTAAAGAATATTTCTACAAAGTTCTTTACTAATAAGATAGTAGAGGAACTAGAAAGATATCTAACTAAAGAACTAATATAGTATTAGATTAGATTCTTTATAGTTAGAAGATTAGAAGTAGGATTCTCCTTAGAAAGATACTCTAATTCCTTAATATCTTTATATGCTATATATCTATTTAGTAGATTAGTATAGTTACTACGCTATAATAGAATATAGATAAGCTCTTATACTCTTTATATAAGTCTAAACCGCTATTTTAAAACTTAGTAGAAATGTTAACAATACTATCCCTATTCTTAATAGAGTTATACTTCTAGTAAGCTCCTCTTTAGTAGCTACTAGTAGCGGTATAAGCCTAGCGCTCTTAAGGTGTAATTTTCTTTCTAGCTATATTACTAGTTTTTGTATAATAGCTGCGTGATAATAGACTAAAAGATAGAGTAGCTAATAAAAATAGAGCTAAGAGAGTTAGAAAGAAAGCATAGGGGTAGCTAGACGCTTCTCTTTTATTTAGAAGGCTAGTAGTATAGCTTCTTTAGCCTTAGGATCTATATTAGGCTCTATTTCCGAAACAGCGCTTGAAAGAGGGCTAGAAGGAGCTATAAGTGAGGTAGTAGGTGGTGCGAGTGATAGATAGGTAAGTATAGGTAAGCGAGAGTGAGCATTACCTAGCTCACCTACTTAAAGTAGTACTCTACTATAAGAGGCAACGACGACGAGCTTGTAGATATCTAATAGATATTTGGTCACCCAACTACTAATCCACCGATTCAAAGCTTATGTGATGGCAGAGCGGACGGGATGCCTAGTATTCGTTGATCTATGGCTGTATGTGCTTGACTGAAGCGCGCTTTATAGTATATATAGTAAGTAAAAAAGCCGAGATTCAAGCATGAACCGGGGTATGATTCAGCCGTAGTGCAGCAAGTGTCAAACAAGTTCGTAAATGGTTCCCCGGTAAGAGAGGATGTCTGACAAACACGACGCGGCAATGGGATAAGCACTCAGTCCAAGCAAAGGAGGAGGGAGATGAGGTGGATAGATGATAGTTCAGGTCAGACACGGCAGAAGTCCTCTGCAGTAATCAAGATATAAAAAGGCAAGGTCTTGAGTTGCAGCTCAGCACCATATACAATACAATCGCACCTTGTGCTTTCGGAAAGTTCAAGCTATATGCTGAAAACAAGCCTCGATATCAAAATGTCTATCGCCCGAAGAGTCCGTTGCTGCTGCATGGAACGCTACTCGTGGCCCTGGAGGTGGATAGCCTAAGCACACAGCCTATAGATAAAAGGCACTTTCAGTGGTTGGTGCATCAAAGAGCGAAACAGCTGGACATCTTTTACTTTCTATTGTACAGAATTGTCTAGTTGCTCCGCAGATGACACGATCATGAGTCCAATCCGATCGTGAATGCGGTATCAGATAAGCTGGAGCAAAGCTGCCGTAACAGTCTTTTCGGTTAATCTTTGGTCCGCCTTGACTACTACCTTGCAAAACTGCATAGATGTAGCTAAGTAAATAAGCAGCCGGTCTGGTTTGTTCTGATGACTGAGGCCAAGTTCGACCCAAGACGTCCCGCTCGTAGCAACCAGGCCTGATTGAGTACAAGTTAACTCAGATTCAAGTATCGGGGAACTCAATCCAAACTTACGTCAATATCAGCCTCAGAAGGATTCTGCTCTCTGCTAAGCAAAAACAAGGTTGAGAAATTGGAAGTCTGAACGATGGCCCAATCATCTTCATAATCTGATTGACCGTCAGTCTTGCTCCGCAAACGATGGAAGTGATGGCCTACATTGAACGATATAATTCGGACCGGGACACTCTGCAGGAGGCTGGCCAGGGAATTGGACTCTGAACACGCCCTCGTCTCCGTAGATCTCATCTGCTGGGGAAGCTGTGCCTTGGATGGTGATGCTCTGATTTCCCACTTGGCAGCCGTTGAATACATTGACGGTACCATTGTCCTGACGGAGAAATAAGCTGGGGAAGTACATCATGCTTCGCAGGAAGGAAACAAACGTTGAGTGCATATTCGGCATAGATGCAAGAGCAGCCTGCAGTAAACGGAGCTCTGGTCCCTGCTACTTGGTACCATCGGCCTAAGTATTCTTCGAGCTCGAAGTCATCGTCGGCCTCCGGGTAGAAACATTGCCTGGAGACAGCATTGAATTTAGAATCCATTGCATCCGTGGAATGCAGATGAAAGGCTTACCCATCCCAATGGGCGTCAACCACTGTACGGTTGAGATCTAAGGATTCACGGATGGTTTGTCGAGGAGCCAGTAACGGCAAGGCTCCCGCAGCCAGCGCCCATGAGAGAAGAATAGTAGTGGTGAGCATTTTTTCGATTGATCGATCGCGCGGTATTTCTGGTTGAGCAGTAAACGTCTTAGAACATGTATATTCTTCGGTCTAAATGCAAAATCCAATCCCGTTTTTCGACTGACAGTTAATCTTATAAGTATTCATATTTAGTGGTGACGTGGGCCGAGTCGCGTACGCGAAGCCACAGCAACAAAAGGATCTTCAAGGCCTGCGAACACGGATGGCATGATTTTACGTGATACGCATGCACGGCATGGTCATAGTCTTGAAAGCCCTAAGTGCAGTACCTACACTCGCACAGCCCTTACATTCTTGCAGCAAAGAACTTAGAAAGCCATCATGTCAAAACGTGGGGAAATATGGTGAAGGAGTTCTTAGCTGGACCCCCGTAAAGCGACGCCCAACCGACATCTGCAGCAGCCGACCAAATCCCGCCTACAGATCTCGCCAGCCGAAGATTATATCTAAGATTATATGTAGTGACGGTTGATACAGCCCTGGCTAGAAGTCGCCTCGGTTTGGCGGAAAACACCACACTAATCTCTAGACACCTCCCTACTACCCCAGTATCACCGCCCAACACCCTTCATCAAAATCGCCGCCAACTCCATCACACCCCCACATCACCTCCCGCTCCGCCCATCCCCGAAGCGTTCCCCTTCATAAACCCGCCCCGGGATCCTCTGCACCCTCAAGCACCACCCCCTCCTCCGTGACCCTGAATCCAAAGCCCCAGCCCATCATTCCTAGCCCCTCACTCACCTCCCTCCCCCACACCTCCCTATCCCATCCATTGACACTAGCCCAGAACCGCCCCTTCTGAACAACCTCCTGCCTCTTCCCCCGCTCGCTCAACGCCTCCTGCACCGCCATCTCCGGCGCAAACGGCGGCACCACCGCTCTGGCCAGCACAAGCCGCAGCGTCGGCAGACGCGCCATCGGGCCGGGCAGCGCGGGGCGGAGGGATGGGATGTCGCGCCGCGAGGAAGGCGCGAAAGAAGGGGCGGGAGAGGGGGAGAGCGAGACAGTGGTATACAGCACCGCGCAGTCGAAAATCTGCTGCAGCCGTCGTAGATAGCGCGCTAGCTGCGTCCACGGCATCGTCGTGCCTGGTACGGCACTCGCAGCTGCGGCACCGTCACTTGGGTCATGGAGACGAGAGCCTAGCTTCGCCATCTCCTCCTCCGCGCGCATGGGCCAGTAGAACGCGCTCGCGCTATCGAGGATGACGCTGTGCAGCGGTCTGTGGCTCGAGTGGTGCGCCGCGGCGTCGAAGAGGTAGGTCGGGATGGCGTTGAGGGTCGCGAGGAGGGAGCCCATGGACTGTGGGCGGTAGACGTGGACGTGTTTGAGGCAGCCCAGGATAAGGGTTTCGAGGTCCGGGGCGGGAAGGGCTGGCTTTTGCTGCGCCTGTTGGCAGGCTACGACGTGGGCTTTGAGGATGGCGACGAGACGGGGGACAGAGAAGCGGTTGTCGGTGTCGAGGATGACGACGGTGTTGCTGGTGCCGTGGAGTGTGATGTCGGCGTAGGTTTGGGGAAGGATGGCGTGGATGGTCGTGAGATAAAGGAGGTGCGTCTTGCCGCTGCCGGGGGCTGTGGAAGTGAGCTCAACAATGGGGGGCTTGGATTCATGTTTCCGGGCTCGCAGCTGAGCTGGACCATGGTGTGATGGAGAGCTCGAGCGGTCGGGGACATGGTGCTGAGCTGTGATTGTCGGGTGCTGGAAGGCGTGGAGGAGGCGGTCGAGGGGTGGGATACCGATTTGTGATTGCACATCTGCGTTATGGAGTGCTCGCAGAGAACGTAAGAGCTAGATAGCACATATCAGTATCAAGTGATGGTGGAAGGGTGATGACATGACTGAGGCATACCTCATCCAGACTCTCCTCTTGAACCTCCCCCAGCAACCTCCTCCCCAGATTCTCCGCACTCATCTTGTCCTTCCTTCAATACCCTCCCCTATCATAGAACCTGTCACGAAATCCCGCATCCCGAGCTCTTGTCCTTTTTCCACTTGCCCGCTGCCCGAAAACCTTACAGCATCAACAGCGAATGGCACCCCCCGTAGAGACCTTTCCACCCTCCCAACTCCCCGCACGCGTCAATATCACTACGAACGGCAAAGTGCGGAAGCCTCCGGTCAGGCTGGAGGAGTGCGCATTAAAGGAGCTGCAGCAGTATGATTGCAGAGTCGAGAATCAAGGAACCCGAAGGGCGAATATCGTGTGTACGCCGCTGGTGCGGCTGTTTCGGAGGTGAGAATTAGATGTGCGGAGGAGGCAAAGACGGGCTGATCAGGACTTAGGTGTGCTAATGGTTTGACGGTTGAGACGACGTCGTGGGAGGGTCCGTTGGCGGCTACAAGGAGAGGGCAGGTCGTGGAGAGGTGGTGAAGCAGAGACGCAGCTCCGCGGTTCGACGTTTGGCGCGGTTACAGCATTTGGAGTGGGTGGCATCACGATTGGAATCATCACGCTGGTTGAAACAGGCGACGGACATCTGGTATCTCTTGATACCCAGAATCCTACAATCTGCGTACAGACCGCCTATGAAGTGACTCGTCATCAACCCCAAACTCCAAGCGATGCATCCGGAAACCTGAGCTTCCGTAAAGGAACTTGAGATCCTCTTGCAACGCCGAACGCCTCGCTAATTATGCAGTCAAAATCACCGCGACCTCTCCAAGCTGCCGAAGTCCAGTTTCCCAGGTGATGTATGTTACCTGCCCGTCAGGCCTCTCCTCCAATAGCGACTCTCATAGTTGACCAGAACCCCATCCGTCCCCGGCTCAAGTGACTGACTGTCCTCCCCAGGTCTCGCATCTGTGGTCCCATCCCAGCCAAAGTCCTCAGCCTCCGCAGTTCGCCTCCTGTCTTCTTCGTCCTCTTGCATCACCGCCTTCAACGTCTCCTTCCACACTTCCTCACTGCGCCTGTCGCTCGAAATGCGCCTTCTGACCTGGTGCCCGCTCTTGCTGGCCGCCATCAGCTTCCGCAGCGCCTGCTCTGCCAGTACGCCCTCCTCAGTCGCGCGCTCTCGTATTCGACGGGGGTCCGTTTCGCGCGCCGTGAAGACGGGCTCGGCTTGCCATGTGTGTTTGCTTGGTAGGTTCGGAAAATGGGCGGGAATGTAGTGTCGCTTAGCTTTCTCTTCAGTGCCTGCTAGCTTAGGCCCTAGCACAGGATCCAGGTTCGGCGGCGGAGGCTCTGCAGGTGGCGGAGGGGGTATCGCAGGCAGAAGTACCGATGGCGGGATGGGCGAATCGAGGTAGCGATAGAGGGAGGCGGAATGAGGGATGCCCTGCTGCGTGAGCGCGCGCGCAAAGTCTGCTGGTGTAGGTTGCGTGCGGCGGCTGGTGGTCATGGACTGTCGCGCATGCGAGAGGAAGCGGAGCATGTCTGAGCTGCGCCGTCAACACATGCTGCGCAGACAGGTTTGGTGCTGCTGAGCTCGGCAGAGAGCTACGTACACTCTTCTACCTCTGCACGGAAAGCCTCCAGCGCGCTAGGCTTGACACTGTCGAAGCCGACGGCGCTTAAGCTGATGGATATTGCGCGCAATAGCTGACTCTGAACGAAGAGCGCATCCTGCGGTGCGAGGGAGGGGTCCACGTCGGAGGGCTGCTTGTGTCGCAAGGCATGGTGGTGTATGCGTCGCCGTTTCGAATGCGCGAAGCTGTCGGCTTCAGGGGCTGATCGCTTCATGATGGGGTGTTGGGCGTGAGCGCCAGGCTCTTCGTGGGTGTGCCGACCAAGTTAATGGCGGTTGCTGTCTGGAGCGCTTTCCCTGTGAACAGCCCGAGGGTGAAGTTGACCGCAGTGACTGGCTGACTAAGCTTCGAGCCAGAGCCGACGACAACTCGAGCTCTACCACGACTACATCAGACCACCAGCGACCCGTAACCTCACAAACGCAACTCGCAGACAACGTTCAGGCAAACTCCGCAATGCCTATCAAACCAATCACCGGCGTATGTCATCCACTTTGCGACTACTCAATCTGCTCGCTGCTCATCAGCTTGACTGACCCCCTCCCAGATGCTCCGCAAGGGCCTTGTCCTCGACCTCAGCGTTGCCCTCGGTATGCCATGTTCCCAACCCCTCCCCCCCGAGACGCTGTTGCAAGGCAGTCGAATTCGTGCAATCGCGCACCAACTCCCAAACTACTACTAACAACCTCCTACAGGCCTCGGCGCCTCCGCCGGCTACTTCTGGTGGTACGGTAAGTAACCAGCGAGCCGCCGCCATGCCGCCGTATCCCACACTCGAAGACACGCTCACGTTGTGCTAAAGGCTATCACGTCCCCGCTGTCCACCACCGCGATCTCTTCTACGCCAAGCTCGAGGACCAGCGTGCGGAGGATCTTGGGACGGTGTAAAGCAATGGCCGGAGGGATCCGCACATGGGTTGAGGAGAAGGCATTTGTGGAAGCAGTGGCATGTGTACCGTGTACTTCATAAGCCAGCAGCAAGGTGTTCAAGCCGATGGATGTCCGCAGTGCCAAGCATCCCGTCAACCTGTTTCCACGCTTGTCTCTGGAAGATTCTCTAAGCCATGCCTCTGTTCCATAAGGTCTATTCCGTACTGTTTCTTTACAATTGCAGTGGTCGCGCCTTTCTTCTTGTGTGTTCTTGCTCAGTTTCTCTACATGAAAGTTACGAGCCTCAGCCTTTGGTGGCAGACTATATCTTCACTCAATGAAAGTATGTTCAGGTCGACCAACGGATCGCCGAGATTCCATGTCTTGCCGTGTCAACCCCGCATGATGCGTGTTAATATACTCCATATGTCGTCTTGGCATTGCGGTCGCTGGTACAGTCTCGACGTTGTTGATGCCGGCCGACCGACTTAGCGAAGCCGTCGAAACGTATTTGTTCGGTTTACAACTGCCTTGTAGATACTCGAAGTGCGATCACGATGGCCGTTTCGCTCTTCGTATGCCTCAACAACGAACTTCTATTCCCTCATCGCTCACAGTAAGGTATTTCACGCCCTTGTACGGCTGTACGCCCGCCCCCAGCCCCCGACTCGCCTTCGTATCTACCGAAAGCCTTTCGACTTTGATTCCACTAGCCAACCATCCCTTGACTCGGAATGACAGTGTGGCCTCCGAGGGCATGAGCAGCGCATTCTTTCGCACCGCCTTCGCATCTCTCTGCTCCGCCGCCACCTTCATGTCCTTCTCATTCCCCTTCCTCGTGCTAGCGGCCTGGTAAGCGCCCATCGGTGCGGCATCATCATACTCCCACGTCTCCCCTTTCATTCCTGTCATCCCGCCGCCACTGTCATCAGCCGGCTCCTCGTCTTCAGCCATCCCAACGACTGTAGCCCTCAGCGTTGCCACCCCAGCGCCCACGCCCAGCAGCGCCGCAATATCTTTCTGCCCGACCCTCCACTCCAGCACCCGGTCCCCAGGCGCATAAACCGCCTCTCCCCGGTTCACCTTCAGCTCGACCAGATTTCTAACGCCCGGCGGGACCGGGACCCTCACCACCGCATCCGCAAGCGACGGGTTCGCCGAGTCCGCCTTCGTCGCCATCGCAAAGGGCAACGGTTTAGGACGCCCACCATTCCCGCCTCCAAACCCTCCACTCGCCGTCCCCAACGACGGGGCAAATGCCGCCGCCGACGCACCCGCGCCGCCCTTGGCGTTCGCAAACCGCGGGTTCAGACTCAAGCGGACCTCAAACTCGTCGCCCATACTCCCCAGCGCGGTGCTGACGTGCAACGTAGCAGGCAACCCGAGCCTCGCCTGCGCCTTCGTCGGATCAACGCCCTTTCCCAACTCGGCAAGGTACTCCCGGCCCAGCAAATCGGCTCCGTACCCCGCGAGCACGAACCGTCCGTCCGGCGGGACGAAACTCAGTTCCCCCGGCCGGTCCCTCCACCGCGCTAGTCTGACGCAGGGGTGGAAGACCGGGTTCTCGAAGACGCTGGTGATGCCGCCGCCGCCGGGCGCGGAGAGGATGAGGAGCAGGTCGGGGATGCCGCTTACTTTGGAGGTGAAGGCGATGGTGCCGGAGGCGCTGGCACAGAGGGGCAGGCCGGAGGGCGAGAAGGTCGCGCTGAGGGTCTCGAGGATGTCGACGTAGAGTTCGTTGGAGGTGTGGCGGACGTTATGGCGGCGCCAGGGGGGTGGGGCGGTAGTGCTGGTGGGGGGGGGGGGGGGGGGGGGGGGGAGGAAGGATGGGGTGGATGTGGGGCCACTGAGAGCGGGAGAGGAACTGTGGGGTGTGTTAGCAAAGTTTGATTCTAGTAACAGGCTTCTTCGAGAGGTGTTGAAGTGCTAGATGTGCAGCAGGGAAAGGAAAAGGGCATGAAGTACCTAGGCAGCCCCGCACTCCCAAGCAAGCTCTTCATCCAGCTCGGCGCCTCCACGACATCTCTCAGCGGGTTCGGTTCCGTAGTCGCGACGATACCCGCATCGCACATCTCGCCGAGCAGTTGGGCTACGACATCGTAGCTGCCCTCGATTTTGCTCGCCAGCAGTGGACTACCTAGGAAATCCTCCAATGCGTCGGCGACCCGGTGGAGGAACTCGGCCACGAGCAGGGGCTCGACGTCGTGGCTGCATGGTGAGAGGAAGAGGAGGCGATCTTGAAGTAGGGAGTGGAGGAGGGAGGGCGGGTTGGTGTTTGGGAGGTATATGAGGGAGGGTCGGGGGGACGCATGGGCTAGGTAGAGAGGGAGCAGGACGTTCGGGGAGGGTGGTCGGCCGGTATAGACATGGTCGAGGAGGAGATTGCTGGGAAAACATGTATCAGTGAGGGTGATAAGGTGGGGTGGTGGGGTGCAATACTTGTGTTCATCGAAGATGTAGAGGGCTTCTATGGCGCTCATGGTGTGTTCGTGCTGTCCAGAGCTCCATCAGTGCTTCTGGAATCGCATCGGCTCAGCTTGCGAGCGTTGAACCGCTTTTGTGTAGAATGGACGCCTTTGGAATCGAGTGTGAGTGACTTGGTGATGGGCTCAAAGTCAGCAAACTTGCCGTCCGTGCTCCATCCAGTTGAAGCTCTTGAGAGGTCTCTCACTTCAACGTATCACGAACAGCTTCATACGTGCTCGAGGGCCACTATCATCAGCCACAAACATGTCTCAGAGAGACGCAGCGACATTGTATCATCTTCAGCAGCCGCAAAAGCTAGACAAGGTCCTCGCGGAAGACAAGGCCCAATACGAGGATTGCACGCCATGTAGATTGATGGGCAAGCACACCCCCTCTGCCACAACCATGGCCTCGAGACTAATGTAAGATCAGGAGCTTCCGCCTTCATCGGCCTCGGTGTCTACAGTTACGCATCCGGCAGCTACCAACTACGCCAGCAACGGGCGGCGCTACTGCAGAGTAAATCAATGTTCGGAATGCGATCCAGGCAGGCAGGCATCACAGGCATATCGGTGATTTTAGTTGGGTTAGGGGTGTACAGGCTAGTGAACTGAAGAATATCCGTGGAGTCAAAGGAAGGGTCGGGCGAAGCTGTGATGCATTGATGGCGTTAGGGAGCTAGGTACGGTACGTCCTTTGCATCTTCATCAAACGAACGCTTCAAAACCAATTCGCGATGCAGTAGCTGATCCCATATAGTGGCGCCGTTTCTGGCACATACCCATCTTCAGTACGACTGCGGGAGTTGAGCCGGATTTCATTCTTGGGAACGGGTCGTCAGGCTTCTCGATAATTCTGCATCCAAGAGACGTACCTCTTGCGGCTCCACGGAGAGGCTGTTCTCGCACAAGCATAAGAGCGAGCGGAAATGCAAGCCGAAGGGGCCAGATCCACTTGGTTACCAGCAGCGGCCGCTCTCTTGCCTGTTCTATGGCCGGGACGATGTCAACCGCAGTGGTGTTGACCACGAGAGAGTCCAAGGCTCTTGGACAGGACGTCGTGCGAAGACTGATGCACGCCTCAATGCCGACGACAGTGGGATCTATCGAGACGAAGCCGTTCTGAGTGGTAATGTAGACATGGGATCACGAAGAGGGATGTCGACGCAAGACGCAAGACGCAAGTGGTTACTAATAATACGAGTTGTAAAGAATAACATGGTTCTTGCTTTGAAGCCAAGGAAGTGTGTGGCAAGACCTCAGATTTCCAAACGATACCAGCCCACTTGCGCTCCATCTATACCCCTCGTTCCATCGTTTCGCATAATTCTTGCCCGCAAAGCTCATTCCAGCTTCAGCATCATGATGGCATGGCGTGGTCTCCTCAATAACCCCGCTCTACGCGGGTTGCAGTCCGTGATTTCTGCTCAGCTCTATCACTCGTGTCAGCCGAACGGCTAAGGTGCATATACAGGACGATGCAGCAGCTTACCGGCCGCGATCTGCCTGAGGGTTCTGTCCAGACTGATGGCATAGACGACCGTCGCACCAGCGATGGCTGAGGTGGTGACGGTCGTGATAGTCGCGAGGACACTGTTAAGATCGAGCGCCCACGGATCAACCGGCTGAGGAAGGGGGCAGCATTGTCCCACATCTGCAGGCCCGGCGGAGGCGCAGTAAGCTGCGTGCTGAAGGATGAGTACCGCTGTGACGATGGGTGCAGTCTTCATCTTGGAGGTGATTATTGCGTGTCTATTAGGTCGGGAATTGAGAGAATAAGGGTTTGATGAAGTGAATTAGCAGGTGAGCAAGATGAACAGCAGGGGACTGTCTTATGAGTACAGGCCAAAGTCTTCAAGCTCGGATCCCTCATCGCGACAACTTTGGAAGTGAAAGTTGAGCTCGCCATTAGAAAGTCGGCCGGGGGAATTGGTTTAGCTAGATCTCGAGGCCCGAGCTTGCGGGTTTCCCGTCACTTTCGAGTTACGGAGGGCCGTACGTCTGGGTGCGATTCCTCTCCTTGCTGCGGTTCCTTGGCGCACCGAGATCTGGGGAAGGAAATGGGGGACCCCGCACTCCTCGAACGTGGCACCCACCGCATTGGTCCAAAGCCCTGGGCCTGGGGCTTGCCGCTAGGAAATTGTGTGGTAAAACTTCTCAGTGGGGAGGCTGTGTTCGCCTGGTTAGGTTGACGGAGTGGTTCCAGGAACCACTCCGTCAACCTAAAACCACTACGTTAACCTCAATGACGGGCGTTTCTTCACCATCTGCCCACCAGCTTTCAGCTTAAATAACTTCTTCAGCTCGGAAATCACCAAGATGCCCTCAATCCCTCTGACCCCATTCACACAGGTGTCGCCATGTCTCAGGACAAGAACATGCAACCCCTGCTGCGGAACGCGCAGGTCCGATTGTGGGAGGTGAAGGCAGACCGTCACAAGGGCACTTTGGAGGGCCGGTGGAAGGAGCGAACACAGTTCTCGATCTACCCGGGACCGCCGAAGCTTTTATTTCATCCCAAGGCCCTCCAGCTACACAAGATCAAGTGCTATTTTCAGCCAATTGGTCTCCAAAATCTTATGACTTCGACTACTTTTCGGGCAGCAGCCACTGACACCTCCTGGCGGACACTGTCCAAGCTGATACACCCGCCAGGGGTTGGTGATCAATACCGCCTGCCACCATTTCGCCTGCAGCGAATTGACATGATCTCTCCGGCAAAGACATGTGCAGCGGCGCGCCCAACTTTTGACAAGCTTCCAAGGGTGATGCTTCCATGGATTACGATGGCAGGTTATAGTAGTGACGAGGGATCACTAGGCGCGGGTCTATCTGCCACGATGATGTCGCCTCACGGTTCAATGTGAGCTCCGACAACTTCTCCAGTCCGCGCAACCACTCCTTCCACAGCTCCAGGATGAGTGTCAGATCTGCTTGCGAAGAGCTTTACACCACGCGGATACGCGACCGCCGCTTACTATCCGGCCACGAACTCAACACCTATCCACAGAACCACGGATTCTCGCACCGTTCAATCCCTATTTGATACGCATGTAGTTGTCATTTAACGTACCAAAAAATCCTGTTCCCTCGATACCCCGTCTTGTAGAGATGACCCCTTCTTGCGGATACCTTTTATTGCTTTTGTGCTGTTTAGCGTTCCTGTTTTTACGATGCATCGGAGGACACGATTACGGAAGGTCATGACTGGAGAACCTTTTGGGCGTTGGGCAGGTGATGTCAACGCATTAAGGCTGGCTGAGCGCTAGCGGGTTTCATTGGTTGCGTAGGAAGCGCGCATTTCGTATCTTTGGTTCTTTTGTAATAAGACAAAGCATCTTTGGGCGGCTTGCGAGGTGTTCTGAGCCTTCCATGCTTCGCTTGGAGGCTGTATCTACCGTACAGGTACTTGGCTAGAGTATAGAACGTCATCCGTTGGCAGCATTTGCGGAACCCACGGCAGGTGACTATCCCAAGCTGAACACTCTCGTCCTCAGCTTGGCTGCTGTGGCTTTTGAGCCTGTGTTGTAGACGGCTGTTCATGCCACCTTCTTCTCGGCGTTAAGCTTCCACTGTTTGCGAAGGCTTTAATCCACCGTGCTTACTCTGCATAGTGCGGAAGATGAACACCGATACCTAACTTTTCAATCTTAGAGTTAGGGCAGTCTTCCAGTAAGGTATCCTGCGATGTCAGTCTTCAATATTCCGTTCGTGCATCTGCAACTGCAGCTAGCGAGCACTTTTGGTCTGCAGCCGACATCTTTGTGGACCATGGTAAAGGCATGAAGAGACTTGCAGACTGCACTTCATCGACGGCGGAACACATCACAGTCCGCATACACATCACAGGCGATGGAACAGGCACTTAAGCCTCGCTTTTCAACCAGCAACATTCTCCGCAACCCTCTCACCCTGCATTCCCAGCACACCTCCCGCCCTCTCCGCGCTCTCCGTCGGTGCCGCGAAGATCTTAGCAATCGCCTCCACGGTCGTATTCCCCCCACTAAGCACCACCCCAATATTCCACCCCTCCTCCCCCGCCTCCCTCTCCACCAACCTCCTGAACTCCTCATTATACAACACCGTCGCCAATCCCACAACAGCGCTCGGCTCCACAAACACCTTCATCCTCTCCAGCACCAACCTCATAGCATCCTTAATCATCTCCTCACTAACCGCAAACACGCCGCGCACTTTATCCTTGTTACTAATAACCTTCCACGGAATCTTGCCGACAGGCGTCCTCAGCCCGTCCGCAATCGTCAAGCTCTTAACCGTCGTGACTCTGCGGGGCGGGTTGGCCGCTAAGCCCTTCCGCGCGTCGTCGGCACCCTCGAACGAGGGCTCCGCGCCGAACACCCGGATCCCGGTCCCGGACAGTGCGGTCGCGACACCAGAGAGCATGCCACCGCCTCCGCAAGGCGTGATAACTGCATCCAACCCCTCATGTCTCCGTTCCCTGCCGTGACGAACGCCAAGCTCAGGTTTCTTTCCCAGCAGATCTTCGACTTGTGCTTGGAGCTCGAGGCCCATGGTCCCTTGGCCGAGAATGATGTCGGGGTGGTCGTAGGGCGGGACGAGGACGGCGCCGGTGCGCTCGATGACTTCTGCCACGACGGCTTCGCGCTCTTGGGAGGTCGAGCCGCTGAAGATGACGGAGGCGCCGTAGGATTTTGTCGCGGCGATCTTGGAGGGCGTGCTTATGGTTGGCATTACGATGTAGGCGGGGACGCCACGGGTGCGGGCGGCGAGGGCGAGGGCTTGGGCGTGATTGCCTGTGTGGTGTAAGCATATGTGAAGTTAGCGGTAATTGTTTGAGGGGGTTCTGTGCGAGGACTGCGAGGGTAGTGTGCAGGTGGCACTTTGCTGGAAGTCTTATGGCATGGCCGCGTTGTGGTTGGCCATAAGGATTAAAAGACATGAGCGAACCTACCTGAGCTATGGGTCACAACGCCCTTCTCCAGCTCTTCATCACTCAGCCGTGCAAGTGCATGGAACGCCCCTCTCGCCTTGAAGGCGCCAATCTTTTGGTAGTTCTCGCATTTGAAGAAGAGCCTTATCTTCGGCTTCGCTGGCGTTTGACCGTCATAGATGGTGCCTTTGAGCGCTTCCGGTGATTGAGGTGTCGATGCAAGCTTTGAAAGTGTTGTTGACGTATCGATGGGCGTCTCATGGATGTGTGGTTTGATAAGCTCATGGGCTTCCTTAACGGAGGAGCGTGTGAGGGGCCGGGTCTGTGATATGTCAGCCATTGTGGTTATAGAAATTCCAACCGGGGCTTTTTCGCGGTGCGAAGATGTCGATCAAGTGCTGCCGACGGCGTGATATCAATACAATGTACAGATAGCTCAGACTATAGCACCATCAACGCACCTCAGGACGGCGCGGATGCTTTCGAGGACGGCCGCTCCTCTTCGGCCGCTTTGAAGAAGCGTCTACTTCCGCAAGAAGCTCTTGCAGGTTGTTGGAGCCATTGATGCTCTTCCTCGTATTAGATACGATCTTGCGCGCCGCCTCCGCTGATACGTTGGCCTCCTTGGCGATCTGACTATATTTGAGCCCGGAATCGCGTAGCGCAATTACTGCGGCCTTTTGCGTGCCAGTCAGCTCCTTTGAGCCTGGCTTCCGGCCTCCGCGATGGTGGTTTGGCATAGTTGGAGCGTGATATAATTAATCATAGTCGAGGTGACGTTGGTTATCACATATCACAGTATCACGTGACTCTGTGGAAGTGGCTTTGGTGTCGAAATTCCATGGCACCGTTTCAACCGGCACAACTGGCTCTGATGCGGTAGCCGCAAAATCTTGATTACTGCATAACATGGACGGCATCACGTCAATCGGCTTGAGTCTCAATGCGGTGAGCAAAAGAGTCGAGATTGAAGCGGCGTCGAGCACACCTGCACACCTGCACGTGTAGAGAACCTGAGGCCGTGAGTGTATATTGTACTACGGTTTTACAGACGTGTCGCCCATTTCGGGCGGCCGAACCGGCAACTCTAGAGGCAGCTGGTTGTACTTGTCTGCCGGATTCTCAGGTGCGCCCCAAGGCTCCGGATGAGATACAGCACTCTTGTACGCCTTCGCTCTCCGCCGCTCCCAGAAATATAGACCTAGTGCAGCCAAGAATGCGATTCCTAGCGTTGCTCCTACGCCAGCGCCTATTGCCACCTCGTGACATGTATCAGATGCCAGACGAGCTGTGCTAGCTGCCGTTGTTGTGACCACCGATGGTGCTAAACTCGACGGCGTTGACAACAAGGACGACGTTGCGGATCCCGTTGACACTGCTGGCGGCATATAGACGGAGGCGAACATACTATTGGGAAGTATAACGTCTTCAGCTACGATGCCTGATGTGCCATTGGCTAAAAAGCAGCGGATCAGTATTGGCATTGCTCGTTGCGGGGCCACTCGCCCACTTTCTACATACCGCAGCAGTAAGTAGCGGGATTGTTCGCACTGGCTCTTCCCGTCAGTCATAAACGCTCTCACACCGCCGCTCCATACCCACATACCAAGGCGTCACATCAGCATGCTCGTCATCTGGAGCTGTGAAGCACTTCAGCATCCCTCGGACGACCAGCCTACAGCATCATGGCGACGGTTACTGACTGTCTCTGCATGTTGGTGAGCACCAGTTGGATGACCAGTCTCGGTCCGTGCAAGCTCCGCGATCGATACTGAAATCTTGCAGCCAGATGCAAAGGCCGGTGGAGAGGCATGCCGCTAAGGAATCGCCTCTACAGCACATGCTGTAGGATTCCTGTGGGTTGCAGGCGACGTACCCGGGCGCAGGATCACCTGCGTACGTGCGGATCAGCATCTCGTTCAGCTTTCAGTTGCTCCAAGGCTTGATACCATTCGGCCAGTAGCATGTTTGAGCCATAGCCTGTAGAGCGGATAGCAGAACAACGATAGGAAGCCGCTTGCTGATGAAGCGCGTCATGGTATCTGAACGACACCGCCGTCTTTGACTGACGATTGAGAAAAAGTGAACAATCCCGGACAAAGCCACTTGATTCTTACGTGGAATATAGGAGGGGACCGCTTCTCAAGATAAAGTCTCTGGCCGGACAAGGCTGGATCTCGGCCTTGGAGCGACATGCCAGCCAGATCCAACACCTGGCCGCGTCTGATGGGTAGTCTGCATGGTGGCTTTCTGGTGTTACAGACGATCTCTTCAGGTACTCGTGAGCTCAAAATGCTGAGAAGGCGCGGTAGACGCGCTGTTGACCACTCAGCTTTCGAGGCAGCGGCCTAGCATACATGCCTGACATTGACGGCACCTGCAAACTACCCATCGGACACGGCCAGGTCGTGTGCTGGTGTGATGATGAGCAAATATAGCGCTGACTTGGATGCAAGCCCCTTACCGATGCAAGCTGCGGCTGTGTTTTGGGGGCAGAAAGATTCGTCAGCTGAGTGAACGTGGTTGCTCATTGGCCCGCAGCAAACACTTCGCCAAAGTCGCACGGCGCTCGCAAGGATCGAGGTCAACCCTCCCACGCGTTCCTGGCGTGACGGGAAGCCTAGAGCCTACATATGTGCAAGTCACGACTACCATACATCCAGCAGAAGATCATACGGGATGGAAGCAGCAAGCTCAAAGTCCGCACCACAACCCGCCAATTGATATGAATCCATACGTTCTAACAAGGCTTTCGGATCTTAATAGCAGGTGGCGGCCTCCGCTCAAACATTTCAAAAGTGGCTTCTGAAAGGCATCCATACAAACTCAGTAGAAGTGCTGAGGAAACAAAATTTGCCGACGCCGTTGAACGTCTACGAACTGTTCGACAAGCTTGCGAGAATCGTCTGTCCCCTACAGCTTCAAGATTCCTTGCCACCCAGCCTGTTATGCGTCGTCTTCCCACGGCATACGCTTGGAGAAAAGCTCCCTACCGCCGCGTCCACCTTGCCACTGAAGGAGCTCCTTCACAGCACTGTCGTCAAGCCCCTGCTCAGTCGGCTTTCCAAACTCAGCTACCCAGCGCTTGAAAGCTTCTTCACACTCATCCCAGCCTCGTTCTTTTCGCTTAAGACTATGGGCCAGCTTGGTGCCGTAGAGGTCGTTCAGGAACTGGCCGTAGGCGTTGATCTCTTCGCCGCGTTTCGTAAGTTCGAGTTCAGAATCTACGAGAAAATCGTCAGCCAGGTTGGGGTCGGCTATGTAAGCTAGAAACAGAGGCAAGGATATCCTACATGACATGATCGGATCGATCCCTTGGACTTGGAAGCGGTGTTCTGGCCAACGGATGGCGCGCGCGTGAAGAGCCTAGAAGTCTCTTAGCAAAGACGAAGGCTTTTATCACTATGCATGTCTTATTAAGGTCAGATACGGTGCCCGGCAGAATCCTTTAGTTACCGTAGCGCGAGAGCGGACAGCTTAGGATACCAGATCAGACCTTAAATAGCTTTCCATATTCAGTTCCCGGGCCGCGAGGCAATCCAAGGTCATCCGCAGCACTAAAAGGAACAGCGGCGGAGGACTTGGAGTTCGCACGTACCATGAAGCGCTTGGCTTTGAACGCATGGGTAACAACTCGCACACTTTTCGGATAGCAGCCCCACGCCTTCCTGAAAGCGATGATACTAAACAGCAGGTTCTGGTAACTGTCGGTAGCGTGCTCCTCCAGCAGAATGCGGGACTTCCCACGGAGACTGAGCAGAAGGCTTATTTGATGCTCTCCGGAGGTCTGCCGCAGCACTCCTCGCGCAGCATTCCAGTAACTGGCAGCTTCAGATAGTGGACGAATACTTCTTTCTGTTTGGCCGCCGGAGAACACCAGGACGCAGTCGTCTGCTGATTGGCCATGCAGGATGGCTTGCAGACCAGCGAGAATGTGCTGAATGAAGGTCTCGTGTTCACCGGGTTTAGCGAAGGGTGAGCGCTGGAAGGGCTTTAGATGCCAGTTGGATTCTAGGTATGGGTTTGCAAGGTTGGGATCTGATTCGTGTGGCAGGATTGGATTTGGACCATTTGGTACGTAGAACGCATGGCAGCAGACTACAATGAGGGTTGTCGGAACTGCTGTAGCTTCAGCGACTGCGTGACTTGCCATGACGCTGCTTCGCCTGCTGGGTAAACAACAGTGGTATGATAAGGCAGAGTACCACTTGGAGACGGTGATCCGAGATTGAGCCGGAAACCAATTACTGGCTCAAGATTTTCCAGAGTAGATAACTACATCAGAAACCGTGCTAGTGGGTTGTCCTTCGTGTTCAATGTATGGGTCGTTTGTCTCCCTTGAAAGGTTTCTTTTAGATTATTTAGAGATTGTGCGAAGCATCGGGTGATTTCTCTTTACCTGGTCGTACCATGTTTCGGCTGCAAATGGATGCCTCCAGCTTGAAGAAGGCAACTGCAATTAAGAAACTCGACGAGAAAAGGATTATCTGAGAGCAGAATGGACGAAAGGATAGCATACAGCAGTTCAGTTTTCTGCAAACATCGGAAGCAATGGGTAAAGGACCTCAACCAGACCGAGAGACTCTTACACAGATTATATGTTGATTATTCTAGCCGGGCGGCTTCGACCCTTCGAACGAAGGAAGCGATCTGGTTTCTGCCTGGTCTACATAAATACCTCACACGGCTAAGAAGGAGTTATCGATGGTGCCCCTGTGGCTGGCCGAGGAGATACATGCACACGCTAAAGCAATCTCCGGCTACTCTTTTGAGTCACGTGCAGACGATTTGAGTGGTTCGGTGGATTATGCTCTTGTCCAGTAGAGCAGCGTCATGGGTATCCATGGACAACCCATCTTTTCTGGAGCTGTAGTTGCTCGTAACCGGTGCATAGAAGTGGATCATTGATGTTGAGCGGCAGTGCGGCTTCGGCTGACAGCGGGCTCGCCGACGGGACGGTGGCCAGGCACAGCCGCACCTTGTGCAGGAACGCTTTGCTCGAACGAGCATGGAAAGGTGTTCGTGTTCCCCAAGGAAGTTTCGTGAAAGAAAATAGCGTGCTGACTACGCTCAGAAGGCGATTTGCGTTATGAGGAGCTGAACGATGGGAGCGCTGCATACGGGCTATTTCGAGATGGAGGCACAGATGTGGCGTTAACCGCCTGTAACCTCAAAGAACATCGGTCAGGCGCATGTGCTTGTGCAGCAGAGGCAGCGTGGCTTGTTGAAAGGAGGCAGACTCGCTTTCAGCGCATGTGTCTTCCCTCCAGTAACCAAGTGCTGACGTTGCCGTTTGCCCGGATCTCCTGCACAGGCCGTTGACTATTGAAAGGGGGTGTTTCTGGTGTCCGAGACGTGCCGCAGACCAACGAACCGGCGGCCGCGCGACCCTGAAACTCAGCCCTCCTCCCGACAGCTGCGCCAAGCCGCTAACCCCGTGCGAAATCCTTCTCCACCCGCTTTCAGCGCGCGACAACACTGGGGCCAAACCTCTCTCTCCTCTATCAAACCTCTACTTCCTATCCTCACTTTCCTAGCATCACTTTCATTGATCTTTCGACTTTCGCCGCCCTACTCCCATTCGTTGACCGGAATTCCACAAACCTAGAGTCGGCGTGGTCGACCTTTAGCAGTCTACCAGTATGGCCTACCAGGGACACCATGGCGGCTACGGCGATGGACACAGGATGAACGACTTGCCTCCCGGGGGTGTACGTTTACGAATATTCTGAGAACTTGTTGTCTTTACTGACCTCTCGACAGCAATACGGCCATCCAGATACTCGAGGTCACGACTCTGAGGACGAGGAGGTCGAGCGCTCGCTCCTCCACCCAAATCCCACAGGCGCTCGCCCTGGACCCTTCGACGACCATGACGACCACTCGCATATGGGCCGCAGTCGGCCTGATTCCACATACAGCCTGAGCGAGACGTACGCCCAAGGTGCAACTCCTGCTCCCAGCTACCGAACCGGTGGCTACGCAGACGGCCCCGAAGTATACTCTGGTCCTCAGGAGACCCTACAAGGGTATGGAGGGCCTGTGGATGACCCTGCAGCCTACGGTCATCCCGGCAGAGCGCCATCGCCGTACGCCAGCAGCGAGACCGGCTCAACAGAGGCATGGCGGCAACGAATGCAGCCTGGCGGTGCAGCCGCTCAGGCAACGGGCGCAGCGGGTCTCAAGCGCGCTGCTACGCGCAAGGTCAAACTTGTCCAGGGCTCCGTCCTGAGCGCCGACTATCCAGTTCCCAGTGCCATCCAGAATGCCATTCAGGCGAAGTACAGGAACGATCTCGAGAGCGGCAGCGAGGAGTTTACTCACATGCGATGTTTGTCTTCCAGCGAGATGTATTGGGAGAGCATTTGCTAACTGTCGGCAGATACTGCCGCAACCTGCGATCCGGCCGAGTTCACTCTGAAGAACGGCTACAACCTCCGACCGGCTATGTACAATCGGCATACTGAGCTTCTCATTGCTGTCACTTATTACAACGAAGACAAGGTTCTGACCGCTCGGACCTTACATGGCGTGATGCAGAACATCCGCGATATCGTCAACCTGAAGAAGTCGGAATTCTGGAACAAAGGCGGTCCAGCATGGCAGAAGATTGTCGTCTGCTTAGTGTTCGACGGGATCGATCCTTGCGACAAGGGCACACTCGACGTACTGGCGACGATCGGCATCTACCAAGACGGTGTCATGAAGCGTGACATTGACGGCAAGGAGACCACGGCGCACATTGTAAGTTGGAAAATCGTAAAAGCAAGCCTTTGATACTAAGACCAAGTAGTTCGAGTACACGACTCAGCTGTCCGTAACGGCCAATCAGCAACTCATTCGGCCGCATGACGACAGCCCAAGCACCTTACCCCCAGTGCAGATGATGTTCTGCCTGAAGCAAAAGAACAGCAAGAAGATCAACTCGCACAGATGGCTCTTCACAGCCTTTGGGCGCATCTTGAACCCCGAGATTTGCATTCTCCTTGACGCTGGAACCAAGCCCGGCCCGAAGTCCTTGCTCGCTCTCTGGGAAGCTTTTTACAACGATAAGGACCTCGGTGGCGCTTGCGGTGAAATCCACGCTATGTTGGGTAAAGGGTGGAAGAACCTCCTCAACCCACTCGTTGCAGCACAGAACTTCGAATACAAGATCAGCAATATTCTCGACAAGCCGCTCGAGAGCTCTTTCGGGTACGTCAGTGTGTTGCCCGGTGCCTTTTCGGCTTACCGTTTCCGCGCGATCATGGGCCGGCCGCTCGAGCAGTACTTCCACGGTGACCACACACTCTCCAAGCAACTTGGAAAGAAGGGTATCGAGGGCATGAATATCTTCAAGAAGAATATGTTCTTGGCCGAGGATCGTATTCTCTGCTTCGAGTTGGTTGCCAAAGCCGGTTCCAAGTGGCATTTGACCTATGTCAAGGCTTCGAAGGGTGAGACCGATGTGCCTGAAGGCGCAGCAGAGTTCATCGGCCAACGTCGGCGATGGCTGAACGGCTCATTCGCCGCCAGCATCTATTCCCTCATGCATTTCGGCCGGATGTACAAGAGCGGCCACAATATCATCCGCATGTTCTTCTTCCACATTCAGATGCTCTACAACGTGTTCACAGTTTTCCTCTCCTGGTTCGCATTGGCCGCGTTCTGGCTGACAACTTCCATCATCATGGACCTGGTGGGCAAAGCGCCAACCGAGAAGGATTTGGCAATCAACCCGAAGTTTCCCAATGCATGGCCGTTCGGAAACACCGTCACTCCAATCGTTAACACGGTGCTGAAGTATCTTTATCTGGGCTTCTTACTACTCCAATTCATTCTCGCCCTAGGTAATCGCCCCAAGGGCTCCAGATGGACATATATCACCTCGTTCGTGGTTTTCGGTGTCATCCAGCTATACCTCATCGTCCTGTCGATCTACCTAGTCGTTCGAGCTTTCACCAATCCGGACACCAAAGCTTTCGACACCGACTCAACCGAGGACTTTGTTAGATCATTCTTCTCATCAGAAGGCGCGGGTATCATCATCATCGCTCTTGCCGCCACCTTCGGTCTCTACTATGTCGCCTCCTTCCTCTACCTAGATCCATGGCACATGTTCACTTCGTTCCCACAGTACCTCCTCATCATGTCCTCCTATATCAACATCCTCAACGTCTACGCTTTCAGCAACTGGCACGACGTGTCGTGGGGCACCAAAGGCTCAGATAAGGCGGATGCCCTGCCTTCGGCCAAGACGGAGAAGGCAGCCGATGGGAAGCACACCGTCATCGAGGAAGTAGATCTACCCCAAGCGGATATCGATAGCCAGTTCGAGATGACTGTGAAGCGGGCTCTGGCGCCGTATCAAGCGCCCAAGGAGAATACTGAGAAGACGCTCGAGGACTCGTACAAATCCTTCAGAACGCATTTGACGACCGCTTGGATTTTCTCGAACGCGCTGCTGTCGGTTGCTATTACGAGCGATAACTTCAATCAGTTTGGCTTTTCGGTAAGTTGAGGCTAGCCTGGTTTTGAACACGGGCTTGTGCTAACGGTTTCTACTAGTCTGGTGCTTCAGCGCGTACCGCCCGCTTTTTCCAGATCCTGCTCTGGGCTACGGCTTTCCTTTCTCTCATCCGTTTCGCGGGCTGCCTCTGGTTCTTGGGCAAGTCAGGCATGCTGTCCTGCTTCGCCCGCAGATAGGGTGGATCACGACTTGGCTCTCAAGGTGCGATGCCCCCATGCGTCGAGTGTACCAAACTATAGGCGAGTCCAGAAGGATAGGTATGGCGTCCGGCGAGCAAGATCAGGAACACTGGCTGGCCAGGTGTGTTATTTCGCCTGGTTGTTCATCCAGCGTAGAAATATATAGTGTATCTGTTGGCACCACTTCGATCTGCCGCACGGGTTTGTTTGATCTTCGGACTTTTGGTTTAGCGAGCTGCGTAGAGTTGTAGCAATACATTTAGAGTTGCCATCGATCTTGTGCCAAAAAAAAATCCAACCATGCCGCTCGGTTCCCTATCGCACGAAGCTATCTCGTCATCCCCTTCTTGATCCTCTTCTCATCGAGGATATCTTTGGACGGATCCGGAGTTGCAAGCCTCAACGTGAAACTTCTCTTCCGGAATTCGCTAGCTGCTCACGAACGGCGCTGTGAGCTTCTCCCTCTTCCATTCCGCCGTCTTAAATGCTGTCCTCCTAGCAGCAGCCCAACTGCACGGGCCGTCTTAGTACGCTGCCCACAGTTGCTGTCTGCATCTTGTCAAGCGGTGATGGCAAGGCCATACGATAGCCCCATGGATTCAGACGCTCCCTTCGATCCAACCTTCAGCCCTTTACTTAATGATGTTTACTTGGGAGGGGATACCGCTCTAAAGTTCCGGGACGGAATAACTAAGCTCCGGACCAATTATAGAGCCGCCGAAGACTTGCCGGCTATCTAGAACGCCAAAAACCACATCCTCAACCAGCACCAAAGCCACCACTAACTCACCACCTATGCCAAGCCGTCCGACGACCTCGTCCGCTATCTTTGAACCGACGGACCAAGCCTCACCACTTGGACCGACGGACAAGGTCTTGGCGGTCCGTCAGTCCGTCTCGCGCTAGCCGGACCGTCTAATGGACACCCTGTCCATGAGCAGGCTGTCCTCCGGTAATGTGGACAAGCAGGAGCAACCGCTCAAGGAAAGCGTCCACCCGAGCAAGGTAGTGCTCCACTACCTAAGTTTTCCACTTTACCGCCACCGTCGATGACTGCGGTGGCTTTATTTACTTTAGTTTAGCTAAGAACTTATTCCATATTAGCTGCCCGCGGCGTACCTGGGCGCTAACGCGGTGCTGAGCGCACTAAACTAGGTCTGGTTCAGGAAGATAATCGAGATAGTTTGGAAGCGATCTAATCTGCCGCTTGGTACAAAGGAGGTTGGCGAGGCAAGGCAGAATAGAAGGAAGAGCATTAAGGAGAAGAACGCGGAGATGCTGGTTGAGGGCATCAATGTCAATACCGATGCGAGCGCCGAGGGGGAGGGTGCGGAGGAGAAAGAGGTTTTGGTGCAGAGGGGCGTGGACGAGAGGGATAGGAAGAGTGTGGAAGTTACAGCGAGGGAGGTGAGGAGGAGCCGGAGGAGAGGATAGAGAGAGAAGGGCTGGGAGAAAGTTCTGGATAGAGACGTTGTGTTATCTGTGCTGCGCTACGTAGTTTGGCGCAAAGGAGTTTCGTTTTCTCTGAATATAATCCCAGATTGCTACTGCTGTCGAATGTTCGACCATTCTATGCAATTTCAGAAAAGCAGACATCAGGAGTGAGATCCGTCAGCTATCGCCACAATACTCAAGCAATGTCCTCGTCGCGTTGGGCCTAATACTAACAGACTAAGTTCCGCCTGGTCTGCTATGTAGTCTCTGCCTCGAAGGGATGACAGAAATTTGACATTTGGTATCTCTGCTAATGAGGTCAGGTACATGCCGCATACCCACGAGGGGTAACAATAGCAAGAGCACATGGCGCTTATCTTTCAACGGCCTGAGGGTAACTTCAGATCAACGACTTGGCTTGCACAAGCGTCCTACAGCAAGATGATTCGACTTCCTAATCTGTAAGCGGGCGCTCCCTTGCGATGGAAGGGAGGCGGCCGCCGGGGCCAGTGCTGATGAAACATCTTCTTTAGAGATATGTCTTGTTACATGTTTGTTAAGAATACGAAAGAAGCTCCTAGCGTCCACTTCATAATTACCAATTCGCAGCTCCGGCCATCAACACCACCAATACCAACTCGCCCGGTACCGCGAGACCAGAAGCGCTGGAACCCGATCCTGAACCAGAACCAGAACCAGAACCAGAACCCGATCCCGGTTCCTCCCCAGTACCATTCGTGTTGTTGAGCCTAATCACAGTCAGCCTATGCAGTCCACAGCCCACTAGTATCAAAACATATACTGACCCAGTGGCAGGAGCAACGTGCACCTCCCAAAACCTGCTCACCTCCTCCGCCGTTTGCTGAAGCGCCGTCTCATTTGCCTGTTTAAACTGCGGATGCGTGACCCCCACGGCCAAAACATCCTCCCTGGTCCCGTTTCTGATAAAGTCAAAGAAATCGGTTGAGACGCGAACGTTCTGCAAGATTCCTTCCGCGGGGTCGATCGTCGCGTTGAAGCTTGAGTTGCTGAAGGAGTTGACGAGATCGCCGGCGGCGAGGACGGCGTCGGTGATGGTGGTGTGCGACGCGCCGACTGTGTTGGAGGTATTAGCAACGGTTTCTCTGCTCGAATCTCTTCTGCTGAGAGCAGTATGAGAATATGGGGGATATGTGGTTACGCACGCAAGGTCATAAACCACCCGGCACCGTGCTCATCCAGGGCGTACTGGCCAATATCTTTAACGACATCGAAGTGGGGGCGTCCGTAGAAGTCAGTAGGTATGCTGGACCATTCCTCGGAATCGGCGATGAGGAGAGGAACCGGGGGGTCCATGTTAAGGGGACCGCTCGATTTGCCGCTGTTGCGCTGTGAGCAGCATGTCCGGCTACGAAGTTCATGTGAAGCGCTTACGGGTCAAGTATGATGGCCCCGCTTGGCTGAACTGTGAGGTTTGAAACGCCTAGGACTTGGAGCTGTGGCATACTCGTAAGCTCGGCCATTGCAAGAAAGGGGTCGTGCTTACGGTAGAGGTAGCGCCGAAGGAGTGGCCACCGAGCGCAAGATTGTCTAGATCTAGACTGTTCGTCCAGTTCCCCAGAGTTTGACCTTCCTCTCGGTAATTGGCTTGGTATACGGCATCGCCCCCACCCTCGGTGATGTTTCGAACTACTCTGAGGACCTCTTCCACTTCGGCTTGCCTGAAGTTGCGCTTTTGTAACACGAGCTCCGTGTCGTTCAGGGCGGGCCTGTATTGTCAGCCTTGCTTCGCGTATCGACTAGTATTTAGGAGAATGTCCACTAAATGTCCATCCGAAAATGATCCGCATCAAGGGATCAACTTACGATAACTGCTCAGCCGTGAAATATGTCACATTTCTCCTCGACCCATCTGGCTGCGTAATCTGCGAAGCGGGACCGCTTCCATCCCTGTGCTCGATAGAAACTGCAACAACTCCTCGGCTCGCAAGTTCTCCGCAGTACTGCGAATACCACGTCCTTAACGTAGCATCGCCGTGCGAAAAGACCAAGACTGGGAAACTCTCATTGCTTCCATACAGCGGAACGTCCACCGCGGCGGGGATGGTGATGTTGCCCGCGAGGAACTGAAGCCCGAAGCTGATGAGCGAAGGGTCGATATCGCCGCCGCGGTTGGCGAAGCCTTGAGCTGCCAGATCGACCGGCGGCGGGACCCAGGGGTGGTTTTGTCGAGAGGAGTTGGCGCCTTGGGGTGCAGGGTAGTAGAGGGAGAAGAGGACGGTTTGCAGCTGGTTGAAGAAGAACGAGGGATTAGACTCTAATATAAATAATGCATAACATAGAGCTGGGATCATGGGCTGGTAAAGGAACTTGACTGGCATACCAGAAACGCGGGCTCGCTCGTGTTCGTGACGACATAGTCGCTGATATTCCGCGGCTCTTGGATAGGCACCTCGATATCTACTGTGCCCACGCCATACTGCCCAGAATACGGACGTAAATCAGCTAGGACGGAAGTTACGAGCAATCCGCTGAGAAGCAGTATAGAGACTGGAGTTGGACAGCACAACATGTTAGGCTAGACCACAAGTATCGGCAGACTACTGCAGCAACACACAGAACATTGGAAGGAACGTCGAGTTCAGGTAGTGGTAATCTCACGTCTCAGCATTTTGGCCCCATTGAGTCGAAATATAACATCTCCTGGCAGCATGGTCAAGGCGAGTGCTTGGATCTCGGAGGGTGTGACGTCATAAGGTATAACGTATTTGACGGGGTGATGCACGCTACCACGTGATGCACGCTTTTTTGCATTGGATTCGAACAACTTTATCCTACACTCCGATGGACCACAGAGCTCGAATCAAGGCCGCAATAGCTGACCTAGAATCGCAAGAGCGTATCAACTATGCTGCAATGGCTCGGAGATGGGGAGTCGATCGGAGTACGCTGTCAAGGCGCCATCGAGGTGAAACAAGCACAATTCAAGACGCCAACAGCCGCCCACACATAACAACGTCCTCGCCCAGAGGAATCCATCTGACGTCTTTCAGCCTCGCTGTCGGCACCCGTTTGCCATCCTGGTCGAACCTCTTCGGCGGGCTCACCACGACGCCGCCCTCTCCCAGCCAAGTCGGCGCGACAGTCACAACAACCGAGTCCACCAGCTCCGCATTACGGGGCTCAAGCAAACCATTAATCACACCCGCACCACCCTCAACCATGACACTCCTGATACCCAGATCGTGCAGCGTGGAGAAAACATCCCGCCACTCCATGGCCTCCCGTCCGCCCACTTCCGTTGACGGCACAACGATGTAGCGCCCACCAGTCCTCCCCAGCACCTCCCTCCCCTCAACCACTAGCCCACCCACGCTCTTCTCGGCTGTTACCACCCACGGCCCCCTTCCCTTCCCCTCCCTCGCAAGCCTAATGACCTTACTCTCCCCATTGACATCCCATCTTCCCATTGGGTCCAACACCACAGGTCTCGGCTGCCCCTCCAATCCTTCCCCACCAAACCCCCCCACGCCCTCAAGCCGACAATTCAGGCTTGGGTCGTCGGCGATGGCCGTACCAACGCCGATGAGGATGGCGGCGTGCTGAGAGCGGAGGAAGTGCGTCATGGCTTTGCTCTGTGGGCCGGAGAGGAAGGTCTGGGTGCCGGGGGCGAGGGAGAGGGCGCTGTCGAGGGAAGTCGCGAAGGTGAGGGTTACGTGGGGGAGGGAGGGTTTGGTGTTAGGAGGAGAGGGGAGGTAGGGGGCGAGTTGCGCTTGGTGGGTTGGGGGGAAGTGGAGAGTGTCGCGGGGGGCGGGTGAGGGGGTGCCGGTGGTGTCGGTGGCGGCTGGCAGGAGGGAAGACATTGTGTGGGATTGTTTGTTGGAGGATGACGAGTTGGCAGTGGGAGCGGCGCCGGTGTGATAGTTCTTTTGTGGTTTGTTATAAGACAAGTTTTTGGCTTGTTCCAAGCTCTTACTATCCCTTGGTAAGGTCTCCTGCCATCTTATGTGTTGCTCGGCATTGCCATGTCAACATCAGTGACGACTTCCAGCCCAAGCCCAGATTCAGCGTTTTTCAGGGTATATACAAATCTTGGCATGGTGTTGAAGGTTTCGGGCCGTGAGGCGCCGGAGATAAGCACGAAGTGTGGCGGACTGTGACGAGGCGGCAACACTGACAGCCTGGAGCCACTCAGGCTTGCTCAAACCGCTACCCGAACCTACACTCCTCTGCAATATTGTGATCATCCCCGATCCTGACAGATCCCTTTTGAAGCTCTCGTTCAAGCGTCCTCCATAGTCCTGCGGGCCCTCGTTTCAACCCGAAAGCGCACACGACAGTCCCACACCAGTGCCTCAGAGTACAACCGCTGCCAAGATGTTGAAGATATGGTCTATGGTACGTCTTCCAGGCTGAAGGCCGAATACCAGGCTACCGATAGCCCAAGAAATCCGAGATCGTGCAGAAGCAGCGAAATCTGAGGCTGACACATGACTATAGAAGCAAAAGCAGCAGCAGGCTGAGAACGCGCAACCCGGCAAGAAGAAGAAGGTCACAGCGGCGCAACTACGAGTACAGAAGGGTTCGTTCCCGCAAAGCCCCATCATGCCAACCTCCAGACCACCGCCCTACAAACTCCCTCCTCCAGCATGAGTAAGACCCCGCTAACACCAACCCCCAGATCTCTCCGAACTCTCTCTCGGCAGCACAATGCGCACCGAGTTCCCGAACCCCGACGATATCCTCAACTTCACCTTGACGATTGAGCCGGACGAGGGCATGTACAAAGGCGGCCGCTTCCACTTCTCCTTCGCCATTAACCAGAACTTCCCGCATGATCCGCCGAAAGTGAAATGCACGCAGAAGATCTACCACCCGAACATCGATATGGAGGGGAATATCTGCTTGAATATACTAAGGGAGGACTGGAAGCCGGTGCTGAATCTGAATGCCGTTATTGTGGGGTTGCAGGTGAGTGGCTGTACTCCTGTTCAGGGGACTGAATTAGGGGTAGACTATGGGTGAGAACGGGGCTGACGACGGCGGCAGTTCCTCTTCCTCGAGCCGAACGCGAGCGACCCCCTGAACAAGGAGGCGGCAGAGGATCTCAAGACCAACAGAGAAGGCTTCAAGCGAAACGTGCGGTCCTCGATGGGCGGCGGTTCCGTCAAGGGCCAGACCTTCGAGCGGGTTCTGAAATGAACGGTTGCCGGCATTTGATCCTCATATACCTACGTTTTATGATTTGCAAGCGAGCATCTAGCTGGGGCGTTATTCGGAAGCGGGCATATACCATGTGGTAGATCTGCGAGAGACAGGGGCATATGGGGGAGGGCATGCCACGGCGTGCTCTGCTTTTGGATGGTGCTGGTAGTTATTTGATCATAGACATCAACCGACATATCAATCGAATGACACTGCGATCTTCATGGATCTATGACAAGCTACAGAGGAGGCTCAACCATGCTAGATTTCCTCTCGAGGGGCCATCATCCAGGTTAGAGGGACACAGCATGCTTCGGCGGTATTTGGCATCCACGAGCATTCGCACTCTAACATTCTGCCATGCACCAACGCTCAGCCAAGCCGCCCCCAAGTTCATCTTCCGGGGAAACCAGCGCCTCTCCGGCCGGCCAGCCTCCCACCCTCCCCAGCCCCAGACACGTGACGCTCCGACATCGCTCCCGCGCCAGGAGCTCGGACGCACCCTCAGAAAAATCCCAAACTCATATCGAGCAGCAATTACTCACACAAGAACTGCCCCATTACCCATCCACTCCATCCTTTCCACTCCAAATCAACTTTACAATGGCTTCCCGTGGTGCGTCCAGAGCTCTACGCGCTTCGGCAAAGCAATTGGCCGCGCCTGCTGTCCAGCGCCGGACGTTTGTCTCGGCGCTCAATGCTGCGAGAGCAGGCGTCACTGCTGCGCCGAGGGCTGCTGTTACAGCACCGTTTGTGCAGAAGAGGGGAGTGAAGACTGTGGACTTTGCGGGGACGAAGGAGACGGTGTACGGTAGGTTCAGCTGTGCAAGGGGATCCGTTAGAAGCGATTGGGACTGACCGATGGTGTGCAGAGCGTGAGGACTGGCCGAGGGAGAAGCTGTTGGTAAGTCACGACTTGCATCAGATGGCTGCAGAGAACGGGCAGATTGTACACAGAGCTGACGGTCATACAGGACTACTTCAAGGATGACACCCTCGCCATGATCGGCTACGGCTCCCAGGGCCACGGCCAGGGCCTCAATCTCCGCGACAACGGTCTCAACGTCATCATCGGCGTGCGGAAGAACGGCCAGTCGTGGAAGGAGGCTGAGCAGGATGGCTGGGTCCCGGGCAAGAACCTCTTCGAGATCGACGAGGCCATCTCCAAGGGCACCATCATCATGAACATGCTCAGCGATGCTGCGCAGAGCGAGACGTGGCCGCAGATTAAGCCGCAGTTGACTAAGGGCAAGGTACGTTGAAACAGCGCCATTCGAAAGCAACAATCAATCCATTGCAGAAGGGAGTGCCAGCTGACGCGTGCAAACCAGACCCTTTACTTCTCCCACGGCTTCTCCCCTGTCTTCAAGTCCCTCACCAAAGTCGAGGTCCCCACCGACATCGACGTGATCCTCGTCGCGCCCAAGGGCTCCGGCCGCACGGTCCGCACTCTCTTCCGCGAAGGGCGCGGCATCAACTCCTCCGTCGCCGTCTACCAAGACGTGACCGGCAAAGCCGAGGAGAAGGCCGTCGCGCTCGGCGTCGCCGTCGGCAGCGGCTACCTGTACAAGACGACCTTCGAGAAGGAAGTCTACTCGGATCTCTACGGCGAGCGCGGCTGCCTCATGGGCGGCATCCACGGCATGTTCCTCGCCCAGTACGAGGTCCTGCGCGAGCGGGGCCACTCGCCGTCCGAGGCGTTCAACGAGACCGTCGAGGAGGCTACCCAGAGCCTGTACCCGCTTATCGGCCAGAATGGCATGGATTATATGTATGCGGCGTGCAGTACCACGGCTAGACGTGGCGCCATTGATTGGAGCAAGAAGTTCAAGGATACGCTCAAGCCGGTGTTCAATGAGCTGTATGATTCCGTCCAGGATGGTACCGAGACGAAGCGGAGTCTGGAGTACAATAGCAGACCGGACTACAGGGAGGCGTTTGAGAAGGAGATGGAGGAGATTCGAGGCTTGGAGATTTGGAGGGCTGGCAAGGCTGTGCGGTAAGTCGACAGCATTGCTAGGTCACAGAGATTCGGCAGCTAATCTGCTTTACAGTTCCCTCCGCCCGGAAAACGCCAAGTAAGAAACCGCGATGTTTAGCAAGAGGAGTACCTGTGGTATCGTTGCAACTTGGTGACAGAAACGTGGCGGAGAAGGGAGGCGACCACTGCAGGACTGTAGACTACCTTTTACCATCTTGATCGGGAGGTTAGCGGAGTTTCTGTTCTTGGGACGGGAAAGCGATCTCGCTTCTGTTTCTTCCGCATCGGCATGTGCAGGTCTTTTGTCTGCTAGTACGGGTTCGAAAATTATTTTCGTGTTGCTGGTAACGTCCTCCGTTGTACAGGACTCTTCATCTTTCAACTGCTGTGCACCTGAGTGGCGCTGTTGCGCTCAACAACGGGCCATCGTGAAATGAATTATTGAATCAGCTAAGTCAATCGAACCCTGATTAGCCTGCGTTCATGGCCGAAGGTTCATGGCTGTTGTCCTCATAGTGTTCCTGAGCTCTGCCGAATACGTCTCGCTTGCGATCGCAAGTCTAACGAAAATGCCGGTTTCCATCCTTAGTCTACTTATCAAGTGTCTATCTTGTCCTATAGCGATCGGGCGTCCAGGTGGGCCGGGCAACTGAGAAAGACAGACCGTAGCAGGCTTAACCATAGACTAGACATGACTTTCAAATAGGAATGGCAGGGTGGTAATCTTGGCCGGCCACGAGGAAGAGAGCATCTTTGCCCATAAGGTGCTCGGTGATGGTTTCTACATAAGTGTTTTGGGTACGTAGGGATCAACTCCGCGATTGCGTGCTGCAATCTCAACTTCCATACTAACAAATCAGCAAGTCTTGCAACGGCGGTGTAGGTTCTCCAGTTTGTTCCATGTACCGTTGCTTGTGAAGGCATGTCTTCACTAGGTCGTGTTCTGCAGCCTCAGCGAGGTAGCATTCTCCAACCAGAGTTTACTGAGAGCCTCGCCTTCTGAGAAAAAAAGGGGCCGGTCCATCAAGGAAAATACAGACAACGTCGCCAATCTCAGCTTCTGGTGGCGCCAGACCGATCGTTCCGTCGTCAAACATGGAGAGTCGGCGACCTTGACACGGATCTTCGATCGCGTTCCTGAACCCCCACGGGTGCAGCTTCGTTCCAATGATGCATTGAGACCTGGACTCCGCGCTCATGGAGGCTTCGAGTGCGGAAGCTGCGTTTGTCCCCATGGAAATTGTTGTGAAGAAGTTGTACCACTCGGTGTCGTTCGTCCGTCGTGGTCCTCTTAAGCCGACGAGCTTTGATGAAAATGCTTGGAGCCAGTTGCTGAAGACCACACTTGCCCAATCCGATCGTCCCTCGCTGCAGACAGTGCGCAAAGACCCAATCTCACCAAAGGCAATGCCCCGGACCATCAATAGATCCTGCAAGATAGCTCGTGGGGAGCGCAGGAATTTGACTCCGTGGATGCCTGGGGCCAGAGGCGTACCGCTCCCCCATTCACGGCTTTTTAAAGACGGTTGCACGATCGAATCTGAGATTCCTGGCCGAGTAGAGCATCCCGGCCGAGGAGTTCTGGAATAAACACGGCATGTACCGAGGATGGGCTGCAGTTGAGGTGCATTTGAGCCATCGAGCCCGATAGAGCGCAACTGACAAGGGTATGCTCTGGAAGCAGTCTTGTTGTAACAGGTTGATAGAGAGGACATAGGACGGTTTTGAGGACCATAGGTAAGGTGCAGCCCCGTCCCATGATCGTGAGCAGGCAGAGTAAGAAATGTGATTGTAAGGTGGCTGTGTTGTGGTCACGATTCTGAATGCGGCTGGAGGCTTGGAGCTGATGTGGCGTGCACATGGCCGCCTGACGAGGCGTGAATACACCTCCTCCGAAGTCGTACGTAGCTGATCGACTTGACTAGGAGTTGCCTCGTTCGTTCTCTCGGTAGTGATGCTCCGAATTTCTCGCTTTAATCTGAGCGGCGAGCCTCCGCGCGATGACCCTAGAACCATTGGGAGCGCTGGCCTGAATCGTATGACAGGTTATCTATAGAGCGGGATAGAGGAACCGAAGTCTTCGGATGGATTATCCGGGGCAAGGTGACAGCGAGGAGCTTGAGCAAGGAACTGTCATGCGACAACCATTGACTTACTTCTATTGGTTCGAGCTACTTTCCTCCGCAGTCATAGCTTCGATCTCCCTCTCATCAAGCCAGCTCCTCACACTCTGCATGACCTTCTCCAATGCATCACCGCCCTCAATCACGCCATTCAAGTCATGCACATTCAACCCACTCCTATGGTCTGTGACTCGCTGCTGCCCCCAATTATATGTCCTGATCTTGTCTCCTCTCCCCATCTTCGCCACACCCACCACACTCCTTCTGAGCTTGAGCGTCTCTTCTTCTCTCGCCTCGCGCCTGGACTGCGCAATCCGCGACCGCAACAGGCCCCAAGCCTTCTCTCGATTCTTCGGCTGGCTCCGTGAATCCTGGATCGCAACCACTGTATTCGTCGGTATATGCGTCAACCGCACGGCAGACTCGGTTGTATTTACATGCTGGCCTCCTGCTCCCCTAGCCTTCATGATATCCATCCTGACATCCTTCGGATCAATGTAGTAATCGCTTTCCGGGTTGCTGAAATCGCTCTCCGCCTCCTCGCTCTCGGCCGGAAGATTCGGCAACACGAGCACCGAAGCGGCAGAGGTGTGTGTCCGGCCTTTGCTTTCAGTAACCGGGACACGCTGGACACGGTGCACGCCTGCTTCAGACCGGAAGATTCCGTAGGCGCCTTCGCTCTGAACTTCTAGGATGGCTTCTTGTAGCGGGGCGTCGGAGCCGTTGGGATCGCTCATGCCTGATGCGTCTTCGTATTTCAGTAGTGTGCACCGTAGGCCGTTGCGTGCGCAGTAGGACTGGTACATCCGGAGGAGGTCGCCTGCGAAGAGGGCGGCTTCTGAGCCCCCCGCGCCTGGTCGAATCTCAATCAGGCATGGTAGATTTGCGAAGGGATGCTTCGGTACGAGGCTCGTTGTGAGGGAGTGGGATGCTTGGGAGAGCTGTGAGAGTGTGGACGGCAGGTCTTCGGAGGCTAGAGAGCGGAGCTCAGCGTCGGTAGAGGAGTCGGCGATGAGGTTTCTCAGCTCTGCGAGAGACTGTGAGATGACAGTCAGATTGTGATAGACCCCGTGATGGAATGTTCCTGACCTCGTTGGCGTACTCCCACTCTTTTAGCGCACTCGCAACTGGGCTCAGCTCGCCCACTTTCTTCGCCGTACGCGTGTCAAACCCTTCGGCGAGCTGTTTCGACAGGGTGCCATGCTCTGCGGCAACGGATCGTGCGCGTGTGAGGAGTGCTGGAGAGACACCTTCGCTAGCTGCTGCAGCTGGACAGATTAGCCCTTGGTTCGCGTCGATGAGAAATTTCACTCACCTGTGCTTTGATACCTCACATACCGCCTGCTGAACGGCCGGAAAGCGCGCAACAGGCAACGATGACAGATCCATGGCGTGTTCGACATGGTCTTTGATGCAGTCACTGATGGAAAAAATGGTGTACCTGCAGCTGCTCTCGGGGGTCCGCGCCGAACCGCCGCACTGCGTTCCGCTCCGCTCCCTTGGCGCACTCATGACCGCAGTCCCGCGCCGAGGTAAGCCTTGGGCATGCAATTTTGGACAATCCAGCACTAAACCCGAGGATGTCTATCAATTGCCATTGAGCCGGGAGAAGGACCTGACGGTCCAATGATACACTAGGGCGCAAGGGGTGGGTGGGACATGGGGTTACTAGCATTTGTTGCCCCGCAGTGGGTTGACAAACATTAACCCCGTAGTCCATCATGAGTCTAATTCTTATGTCCCAGTCGTTGGGTGCTCCTCACAAACTGCAGAAGAATCAAATTCATGTGGGTGTACCGTGTTTTCTTTCCGTCTGAATTCCAAGCATTCCATGTTCTTCTTTCTTCTCTGCAGCATATCCTAAGGTAGTGCTTATACAGTTCCTATAGTATCAGGTCAATCGAGAATCGCCTCCCATAGCTCATCAAGAACTTCAAGCTTCGGGTCGTATACCATTGGCTTCTCTCGTAGATCTCTGAACCTCCTGCAGAAGTTACAGCCCATCAACGAGTATGCCTCTGAACGCGAGCGCCATATACCCGGCAACGGACCCCTCGTTTATCTCTTTCCCAAGCCGGCGAAGCGTAGTACACAGCACGAAAGGAATTGTCGCCTCCACTCAACCACTCGCTACTCAAGCTGGGATTCGCATATTGAGAGAAGGAGGAAATGCTGCGGTAAGCTGTAAACGCGGCAGTAGCAAACTTTTACGCGCATGACGCTGATACAAGAGCATGCCAGGACGCGGCAGTCGCAGTCGCAGCTGCGCTCAATTTGACCGAGCCCGGCTCCACGGGGATAGGGGGAGACATGTTCTGCCTGTTCTACAACGCCAAGACGAAGAAAGTTCATGCTCTCAACGGCTCCGGCCGTGCTGGCTCGAAATGCACATTGGAGACGATACGAAAGAGCCTGGGAATCGCAGACGGGGAGCCCGGCGCCATACCCATGGACAGCGTGCATGCGGCCACCGTGCCAGGCGCGGCAGCTGGGTGGGTAGATGCCGTTGAGAAGTTTGGTAGCGGGAAGGTGTCGCTGGAGCAGATCCTTATGCCAGCAATCGAGCTAGCGGAGGAGGGGTTCCCGGTTTCAGAGCTCTCGGCAACTTTCGTAAGCCTTGAGTCCGTACTAGTATCCCGAGGAATAGTAACTGACCGACGAATAATAGTGGGAAGCAAGCGAGGGCGCGATCTTGAGTGCCTCGCCAAACTATGAAGAGATGCTCAAGAAAGACACCTCAGCGCCAAAGGGCTGTCGTGCTCCCAGAGCAGGCGAAATATTCAAGAATCCTGGCTTGGGGAATACGTTCCGGTTGTTAGCCAAGCACGGCAAGAAGGGGTTTTACGAGAGCTCAGTGGCCGAAGAACTGATCAAAGTCACGTCTGACCTCGGTGGATACCTTACCATGGATGATCTGAAGCACCATGCAGAGACCGGGAGTGAGGAGGTGGACGCAATATCCCTCAAGTTTGGCGGCCAAGGCGTGCGCGATTCCCACAACAAGCACCTGGACCACCCGAATAGCGAAGGCGTTGAAATATGGGAGCATCCACCAAACGGCCAAGGCATCGTTGCCCTGATGGCCCTCGGCATGCTTCAGGAGCTCGAAAAGGCCGGCAAGATCGGCCGCTGGAAGGCCACCGACCACAACAGCGCCGAGCACCTACACGCCGTGATCGAGGTCCTGCGCATCGCCTTCGCAGACGCCAGCTGGTGGGTCACCGACCCGAACGTGAAGAAAGTCCCCTCCGCCGAGCTCATCTCCTCGGCCTACCTCGCCGAGCGGGCAAAGCTGTTCAATCCGGAGCAGGCCACCGACACCGTGCATCACGGCTCACCAGCCCACAACCACTCCGACACAGTCTACTTCGCCGCCACCGACAGCGAGGGCAACGGCATCTCCTTCATCAACAGCAACTACGGCGGCTTCGGCACGGCAATCGTGCCTAAGGGCTGCGGGTTTACGCTGCAGAACCGCGGCGCGAACTTCAGCCTTGATCCAGAGCACCCGAACAGGCTGGCGCCGAATAAGCGCCCGTATCACACTATCATCCCCGCGATGATTACGAACCCGAGTGATGGGAGCTTGCATACGGTGTATGGCGTCATGGGCGGGTTTATGCAGCCGCAGGGCCATGTGCAGGTTCTGCTGAATATGCTGGTGTTCGAGCTTAATCCACAAGCTGCGCTCGACGCGCCGAGGATTTGTATCGGTGCGGGCATGCCTGGAGCGGATGGGAAGGTGTTCGATCGGACGGTGTATCTTGAGGATGGGATCAGGGAGGACGTTGTGAAGGGGCTGGAGAAGTTGGGACATCATGTCCAGGTCGTCAAGGGGTATCAGAGGGGGTTGTTTGGGAGAGGCCAGGTTATCAGGGCGCATGAGGAGGATGGACAGATTGTGTATAGTGCTGGGAGTGATCCGAGGGGTGATGGAGCGGCGATGCCGTTGTAGTATTGAGGACATATATGAGGGTCTTGTAGGTAGTGATGACCCGACGCAATGCGCATGATAAATATCCACTTTCTTTTCCTGATCTTGTTACATTCATTGTAGAGATTGTGACATCCGTTTGAGCTCAACATCGCAGTGGTAGGATATCGTTCAATATTTCCTTCTCCCATATACCCGCTCGTCAAAGGGTGACTTAACTGCTGAACAACGCACGTATGATAACATATGGATTTCGTGACAGCGATCAGCGCTCTGCACTCTTATATTGAAGATGGTGCCGTAAGCTTGACGCTTTGTCGTCGGCGTGGGAGAGTCGAGACCCGGTTCAGAGTCATGTATGGCTCGAGTGGCCTTTCTGATTCTAGAGGTGGAGTTCCCCAAGCTTGGTGAAAGTGATGGTGCCATTTGCCGACGCCGGAGAAGTGAAGACGCCACTAGATCCGGAAATCAAAACATCTCATACTCTTCCTCTTTAACATAGGTCTTCCAGCAGCAGCACTCACCATCAAATCTCACCTCCGTCAAAGGCAGCAAAGACCTCAACGCCAGCCAACACTCTCTATGGCTACCTCCAACAATACGATTCCACTCGCGGAGACGGAGTTCGCGGAAATGCGGTCCGTCATTTTTTCTCCAGAAGCATATACCATCTGCCCTCGCTGTGAGCGTGATTGCACCGACACACGCATCAACCGAGTCTGCGTAGCCTGCGAGCGCCGATTCAACGAGGAGATGTCGCGTACCAAGGGGGGTGAGAAGACGCGTCGTTACTGGCGCCGGATGCTGAAGGAGGCTCAAGAGCAGCAGATCCGGTATCGAGGCTGTAAGTAAGCGGCTCCCTGACATCTATGGATGTGTCTGACTTGGTGTATTCGTAGTGAACGAGATTGCTGTGGAGCCGGCGGAGGAGGCGGAGGAGGCTCAGAACGGGCCCAAAGCTGCCGCTGAGGAACCCGTAATGGTTGTGGAGGAGGAGGATAGCTGGCTCGTTAAGAAATTGCGTGCGTTGTGGAAGAAGCTGAAAGGCTGAGCTGGGGAAGGATGATGAGCCTCCAGGGCTTGGGAAGGGACTTTTCGCAGCTGTAACGCGGAAGAGAAAAGAGTCTTGTACTCCTGACAGAGGGGGAGGAGAGGATGAATGCCCCTCCCGAGCAAATTACGCGCCCTTGTGAGCATACCTAAGTAGTGTCCGAAAATGCAGAGGCGTTTATGGGTTGAGACACGTCATGATCGCAACTTGCCTTTGACTGAAGACGGCTCAGGAGTGAACTGGAGCTCTTGACACGCACTCCGGTAGGAGAAGCTGACGCGGCACAACCATCTCTACTAGATCTAAGGTTGAAGGAGCGTGGAATGCTTCGAGTCCGTGTTGACGGTCATGCCAGTGCTATCCGAGAGGGGTAAGCCGGTGTATCCCTGTATCCCTGTTCGTGGCTTTGGATGGCGCGCCAACCTTGAACTGTCTAACACGACTACAAACTCACTACATACATACCAGCAACGCCAGCATCCTGCTGCTTCATAGTCTTCGTGCGGAAAGTGCGGAGACGGGATTCCGGGATTCCGAGATTCTCAAAGCATTTGCAGTCGACCGCGGCTGGCCATGTCGTGAATTTTCTTTCCATACCAGGAAACCGCCTCAGCAGCTCTTCATGGCTCAGTCAACCACTGCGGGGGACATCTCTCAATCAAAACCCAATGACATTCTATCCGGAACACGAGACCCAGGCAGAAAGAGCCAGGCGTTCATCGCGGTCCCGGAGAGTGACTCGGCCTTGAAGGGTTTCGGAAATCCTTGCGCCAGCGACCAAACTCCCGGCACGTCGACGGCCTCGGTCTAGGACACGATACGGCCTGACCATGCACATAATGCAGAGCTGCTCATCCCCATGCGAGTAGATCCTGCCTTTTGATGTTCCCGAAGTTCAGCTCAAGAGAATCGACCGCTTGGTCACGACGTCGCGGTAGTAACCAACCGACCACCGCTCGGGCTGCGACTAGACAACTGAACAAGTACGCTTGAAGTACTGGGAAAGCTCGAACAGCTTCCTGGATGTTTGTGTATAAGTATATACGAGTTCCGTATCATGGATCTTACACTTGCACGTCTGCAACCGCGATTGAGAACAAGCAGTGAGTGTCTTGACCGCACAGCTCTACTTGTCTGCTTCAGAACGAAGACCGTCATTGCTGACAACGAGCGTCAAGGATTCAAGAACAAGAGACCCGGGTTACGCTAAACATCACAGGTTACGCTTCAGTTCGATTTCAAACAGAGCAGCTGCAGTCGACCGTTAAAATAAGAGTTTGAAAGCTACCCGTTTTTCGCCACCTCCTACAGATCTGAACGACCTCTCAGGCAGCTGTCAACAAGGCTTGAACGGCGACAAAGCAACCGGAGGAGGCTATTTTGACACCACCACATTGCCATCACTTGCCGCTGCACATGAGGGCACGCATATCGCTTCTTGAAGCATGCGCAACAAGAGCGGAGAGCTCCTGGACTCCGTCAGGTTTGAGTTCTCTGATTGCTGACGAGCGCAGAGAGAGAGATATTTCTGCGAAATATCCAGCTGGTCCTTCTCGATCTCGGGAGCCAGCACAGCTTCCAAGCTCGTCTGTCGACAGAGGAATGGCAGTAGTGACCGCACCGATCGGATGCCAGAAACCTTCCAGAGACAGTCATACATGTCAGACTACCGTGCTGCAAAGGAAGGGACGGAAGAACACTCACCCTACAAGCCCTGGTATAAATCTGGGAAGTCAAGTAACTACTACCCTTGATACGACGTGGCCCTTTCAGTCCTCACGCCGAACGCAAGCCTGTTGATCCTCACGATCTTTCGGCGTGTGCGCTTGCGGTACGCACGAACCGTCTTGCCAGCTGCGCCGGGAAGGCGAGGAGGTAGGATTGCAGGAAGGAGATCAACTCACCGTGCATTCTCGTGAGGCAGAGATGGAACTCGGAAGTCTCCAACGTTACCTAGTTGCGTGATGTCGCGCCTGTGCGACTTGCTCGCCCAATGCTACCTTTAGCAGCATGCAGAGCTGCCAAGAAAATTCAAGGCGATGTTCCAACTAGCTGTTAACTGTCTGCTGAGAGCGACGAATTCGATGGCAGTCAGGAAACACGAATTGATCCCTGCCTCTATCAAGATCTGGCAAGCTGTAACCAGCGGGGCTGACCTCACCCAATTGCCACAGCTAGTGGTCGACAACGGTCAGCGTCGATACACGCGACTGTGTATCCGGGAGCCGAGTCGTTGGCCACATTAAAGTCTGATCACCGGGCCTTCTTCCTCAAGAATCACTTTGGAGCCGATGTGAAAGCTTGCTTGCTGTTCACAAACACCGCAGGAAGGCGTTGATGCATCTTCAGGTGTGGAAAGAGTTTCGTTCTTGACTAGCCTACATCGACAAAAACCCCTTGGAAGCTCCGCCGAAATCAGAGCTTGCATCTGCAGCACTCGCCAAAGAAGAAGGATTTTTACTCGGCGCTCGCACATGCCGCGGCCCGAGGCGAATTCTCTACACTTTTCTGATCAGCGCTGTTGCATTATGCAAAGGATTTGAACAGGGAAAGAAGTTGGGGCGAGTTCAGTCACTGATGGTACCGTCGGCGCTCGGCCAGGTTCCATCGAGGCGTTGTCCGCCCACCGCGCCGCATGATGCTCTATGGAACAGAGAGATACTACCGGCACATGCGGACTTTGGCGGGGCAGGCATACTCTGTCATCATGTTGTGCATAGGAGAGGAAGAGAAACAATAATGTGCTCGTACATACCTCTGCAGCTCCAGGCCTCGCACCAGCTTCCTAGAGAGTCTTCCTCTCCCATCGCCACCGACACCAAATAGCTGCATTAAGCCGAGTCAGCAAATGTTCACCGCCGGGCCAGCCGCGCAGAGATCAGCTTACAGTAAGAAACGACAATCGACTCTCCAATCACGCATCTCCCATACAATGACAAGATTGATGCGAGGGACCCAGGCAGCACCACAGGCCCGGAACGTTCACAATGAGAAGACAAATTAAGGATACGGGAAGTGCAAGCGGCCGAACATTTGTCCTCAGAACAGTATCTGTAAGAGAGGTCAATGAGAGCCACCCGTCTTAATTAGGGACGAGGGCTCTCTCCCGCTTGAGTTGTCATCATCGGACAGGCCGCCCCCAGTGATACGCAGAAACTCCCGAAGGTGCTTCCGACGACCTCGCTGACCTCAGCAGTCCCAGTAGCAGTGCCAAAGCAACCGCATGCTGCAAGCGGGGTGCCTTCCTCGGTCTTGCCCCCAGAAACAACACGTGTAATGGAGGAAGCGATGCGGAAGGAGCGCAGGCCGCGGTCGCGGACTCCTGGAAAGTCAGTCAGCACCGGTCACCACTCCTGAGACGCACATTGAATTGATCTCGGTGAGGCAATCAGATTTAGACACCCTCGGATGTCTGTGGTATTTTTCAACATCACGAAAGATCGCACTAGGGAACGGTTGTTTGTTCATCATGGTAGCCTCCCTCACACAACCAGGAATTCGGAGCACACGTACCTTTCCGCCCGGTTCAACTCCACTCGCGCGGAGCATCCTAATCAGGGCCTCTGAACTAGGCGACCGCCACCTGCAAGCATGTTAGCGTTATCTGACCGAAAGAAGGGAGGAATAAGAGAAGGAAGGACTTCTCCGCGAGAAGATGTAAGCAGAAAAGCACAAATCCAGAACGAGATGGGTAAAGGAGAATGTTCAGAGCTCATGCCGTGCGAGGCAAGCGGCTAGAGTAACTTCCTCGGTGCCAACCCCCAGAACCCACGTTTGCAACTGAGGCCTCAGAGTTCTTTTCCTTTCGCCATTTTACTCCC